GATCTCCCACCCGTCCATGTTCCCGAGCCCCGAGCACGGCACTTACAAGGTGTGCGTCGTACACTCGTACACCCCCGCGTTCACCCTGCGGTTCACCCCCGGTCCCCGCCAAGCCGGCACGGGGCGCTGCCCCCCGGGGCACCAACTCCACGGCTGCCGGGACCGCGGCGGGGACGGGCAGGGGCAGGGCTGGCGCCAGCCCAACCAGTGGCAGGCCGGCGTGCGTCCAGGCAGTGCGTCCACCTCGGTCCGCCTGCACCTAACCGTCCCCGAAGGGCTCCCTCCATGGCTGCCCCGGGTCCACCGTCGAAGGTGTGCCCTACGGCTGGCCCCAGCAACCCCAACCCCGCGGGCCGCGGGTTTCGACACGGCGCCACGTGTTCAGGGTAGGTAGACTTCCTGCTGCTGCTTGTTACACATTGCACCCAGATGGTTCCCAAACGCACTTCTTCTGCTTTTCCGTGATCACGATGGGGGAAGAGATTGTTCTTTGCTGGCGGAGACACGCAGTCCTGTGGGGTCGACGGGGCGGGGCAGGCACTTGAGGCCGCACTCCACCCCTCGCGCCAATCGCCCCGCCGTCCCAACCTGTACATAACTTTTAAAGTTTCTTTTCTGTGGACCGTGCCCTGCAGCGCCCAGTGGGCCTAGTGGTGGGCTGCACGTGGAGCGCGCTGAGGTGCGGTCCGGCGGTCCGGCACTGAGCTGGTGGTCACCTGGGAGCAGCAATGCGGGTGCCAGTCGTACACCACCACCAGGTGCGCCGCTCGCCAACAACCAACTCACCGAGGACGACAAGCGGCCCGGAGCCCGGGGCGGCGCGGGTGCCAGTCTTACAGCACCACTGCCTGCGCCGACGCCGCTCGCCAACAACCAACTCACCGAGGACGACAAGCGGCCCGGAGCCCGGGGCGGCGCGGGTGCCAGTCTTACAGCACCACTGCCTGCGCCGACCGCCGACGACCGTGTCGCCGAGAACGACAAGCAGCCCGAGGGCCAGGGCGGGCGGGCGCCAGTCGTCGCCAGTCACCCAACACCACCGACCTGCGGCCCTCGCCGTCGACCTCCTCGCCGAGTACCCCAGGTGGCTCGGGGTCCTGGACGGGAGACATTGCACATGAAGGTGCGCCGAAGCACTGGCTGCTAGCTAGACCCACCAGCGAACCCTATTCTTGTTTTTGATTTCCTG